GGGGGGGGGGGGAGAGAAGGCGCATGCAAAATAAGACGAGAGATGAAGTAGAGGAGAAATGATGTGTGTCGTTGATGGTTAAATTTGTAATATCTTTTGTATTGTGGCAAATTAAATACATGCCACAAAATGGTTACTGATATTTAATAATCCCTAAACTAGTTTATTTTCAAGACATGGAAAAAAATACAAAATATTTTTTCATCAACATAATTAGAGAAAAGTTGTTCAATTTCTTTCAAAAATTAAAACACTATTACTTCACAAGTGTATTTCAATTTTAGGTATGTTTTTCAGTTTTTTCAAGCTAAAAAACTTTTCTTTAATGATATTTGATTGAAAAGATTTTCAAACAAATTTTTTAGAGTTTTTCAGATTCTTTTTACTCTTTCTGAAAACAAAGTCAATAATTGCTTGGATTAGATTTTTATTGGGGCGAATATTCGTAATCTATTTTCTGCCTACTTGTTCAGTGACATCTTTAAGAACTCTTTTGTTTAAAAAAAAAGAAAAAATACATAAAATTCCCCCTGAACTTATCTTGGATTTGTTACTATATACTTATACTTTGGGGGGAAGAGGAGGGGAGGGGGGAGAGGAGGGGAGGGAGGGGTCTTATTACCTCCTTGAATTATTTTGAAGTATAATTAATTCCACCTTGTTAGCTGACGTGACATAAATAACCAAACATGCATCTGATAATATTTTGCACGCGCATCTCTTCCCTTTCTTTTTTCTTTCTTTATCATTTAAAACCTTTTTTCCATTTCCTCTCAAATTTTGATGGCTAACCTCTTCCATATTCGTTTTTTATTTATGTTAGATTTTCGATCACAAGCCATAATTCTTTTGTTTTTATTCAATTTTAACTTCTTCGATTTTCTCTTTTTTCTCCGTATAAAAAGAGAAAACTCAATCTCATTATCAGCTGAAGAGGAAAATATCAGAGAGCCTTTACAAGTATTGGGTCAGAGCTATATATACATGACTGGAGTCCACTACAATTTGGCTGGAAAGAATAAAAAATACATAGGGACATAATTATATTTTTGGCTAGCCTAATATTAATAATAGCGGATAAAATAAATTTATAGTCTAGTAAGTAGGTTCATCAATAAAGTGTTCAATTGAACTACTATTTCCAACAACTTCCCTCAAGTTGGAGGGTGACAAAACCCCCAACTTGCGCAAGATAAGGTGATGTCCAACACCAGATAAGACCTTGGTGAACACATCCGCAAGTTGGGAAGAGGTCGGAGTATGAAGCAGATGAATAAGACCTTCATTGAGTTTTGTCCAAACAAAATGCCAATCCAACTCAATGTTCTTGCGCCGCTCATGAAAGACAGCAATGCGAGCAATATGTAAAGCAACCTGATTATCACAGAACAAAGGCATAGAGCAAGGAGCAAGCAGACCAAAATCAAATAGCAGTTTGGCAACCCAAGTAACCTTAGCAAATACCTTACTCATAGCCCTATATACATCTTCAGCTGAAGATAAGGAGATAATGATTGTTTCTTTGATTTCCAAAGCACCAAACTACCACCTAGGACACAAAAATCAGAGACAGGCCTTCTAGTATCATGGCAAGCCGCCCAGTCACTATCACAGTACACAGTTAAGTTGAGATCATGAGACTTGTTCAAGAAAATTCCCAAAATCAGAAGTCCCTTTTAAGTATCTCAAGAAATGTTATACAACTTTCATGTGTGGGAGACAGGGATTCTGCATAAACTGGGAAAGGTGTTGGACAACAAAGGAGATGTCCGACCTGGTGTGGATCAAGAAATTCAATTTACCCACAAGATATTTGTATTGATCAGGATGAGACAATATATCACCTTCATCGGCCCTCGGTTTGGAGTTGATCTCAAGTGGATAGACCACTGAGGTAGCATCAGAAGAATGAAACTCAACAAAAAAATCATGAAGGAATTTCTTTTGATGAAGTAGAACACTAGAAGCAGAAGACAGAACCTCAATTCCAAGAAAATAGTAGAGAGACCCCAATTCCTTTATCTTGAACTGAGAATGTAGAAGTTTTTAAGTGCCACCAACTCATGAGGATCAGTCCCAGTTAAGATATTATCATCACATAGACTTCTAGGATGATAAGAGAATCCCTAGAAGACTTGGTAAAATAAGGCTTGTGATAATTTGGCATACGATTGTCAAGAAGCTTGAGGTAAACCATAGAAATATTTCTTCAATTTACAGACTAATGGAGCAGAAGAACAAAAAGAGGATGGAATGACAATCCAGAAGGAGGTTTCATGTAGACCTCTCATCCAAATCACCATGAAGAAAGACTTTATTAACATCCAACTAAAATATAGTTCGATGCTTCTTAATGGCTACAACAATAAGAGTTTTGACAGTGGATAATTTGACCAAAAGAGAAAAAATCTCAGTAAAGCAACACCCTCAACTTGAGTATCACCTCTAACTACCTACCTAGCCTTAAACCTTTCTATGAAGGCATCAGCCTTATATTTAACTTTATATACCCATTTGCAACCAATAGGCTTATTCCCTTTAGGCAAGGGAACAAACTGCCAAGTCCTATTGGCTTTCAAGGCATCAAATTCCTATCTCATAACATGTTGCCACTCAGGAATATCTACATCCTGAGAATAGGTATGAGGTTCAAAAGCATGATGATGAATCACAATAGAACAAGTAGAATTGGATCAAGGAAGGGAGGTATGAGGAGCACAAATATAATCCTTGAAATAGAAAGGAAGATTATGAGGTCTAGAGGATTTCCTAAGGGAAGGTGCAGAAGGAGTAGGAGTGGCAGGAGAAAGAGAAGGAGAAGGTAAAGAACAAGTGATACTAGAAGAAGAGTAATTAGAAGAGGAAGAAGGAGATAAGGAGGATGGAAAAGAAGAAGTTTGAGCAGGCATTACAGAAGGAGGGGAGTTATCAGAGAAGTCAAAAACAAAGAAAGGAAAAAAGGAAGAGTAGGTGGAGAAGTAGTAATGTTGGATGATTAAGGAAAAGGGAAAATGTGTTCATAAAAGTAAACATCTCTGGAAACAAAATAGGACTTAGAGATAAGAGAATATAACTTGTACCCTTTTTTAGCATAAGAATAATCTAAAAAGACACAAGGAGTAGCTCTTGGATGGAACTTATCCCTGTGAAACATTGGAACAGTAGAGTAACAAAGATAACCAAAAGCTTTAAGATGGGAATATGAGGGAGGTTTGTGATAAAGTACTTCATAAGGACTTTTGTTCTTCAATAAAGGAGATGGAAACAAGTTGATAATGTAGGTAGCAGTGAGAATGCAATCACCCCAAAATATAATGGGAAGATTATAAAAGCAAAGCTCTAGCAGTTTCAAGCAAATGTCTATGTTTTCTTTCCACAATACCAATTTGCCCTGCTGTGTGGGGACAAGAGGTCTGATGAATAATACTCTTTTTCTGGAAAAAAAAATAACCAAACATACTAGAGCCAAGTTCCAAGGCATTATCAATTCTAACATTCTGCACTTTGGTGGAAATTGTATTTCAACCATGGATATGAAAGTGTCACGACCCAAAATCCACTAGTCGTGATGACACCTTACCCGACCCCCTAAGTAAGCCAACTAATAACTATCCAATTCCATTAAAGTCAAACAAATAAATAAATAGAGAAGTTAACTGAATTTTATACATTTCCCAAGGACTGGTAGTACAAATCATGAGCTTCTAAGAATAAGTCACAAAGCCGATATGAAGAAAATACATCTTATGTTTGAAAAGTACATAAACAGAGTTTTATAAACCTAAGGCTACCATGAACAAGAGGTAACTATATCAAGGACGCAGGTACACCTTCAAATCCAACACTTATCGAACGCAGCAACATTGGCATCCGGGATTTGCACGCAATGTGCAGGAAGTGCAATATGAGTAAAATCGACTCCATGTACTCAAAAAGTAACAAACCTAACCTCAGGTTGAAAGTAGTGACGAGCTGATACATAGGTTGGGTCCAACACACATAACCAATAGTAGTTCATACAGTGTACATCCAATAAATAAAGAAATAGCTGAGAAATAAAGTGCTTAGCTTTTTTCATAGTTTTTCGAAAACAGTTCCACTTTTCAAGTATACTAATGAAGCCCAAATCCTCTACCAAAATCGTTAAAATTATGATTAAGTTTTAAAAAACTTTAACTTTTTCCTGAAAATCCTTTCCACAATAGGTAAACATGTTTCATTTCCTTTTTCAAATAACAAGTGTGAAATACATCTCTATAACCACATATCAATGTATGTAAAAAGTCATGAATAGCGTGAGACCCTACAGTATGAGGAAATGCATCCCTATGCATGTATGTCATATATGCATGCCAATGCTATGTACCTCAGAGATGAATCATGTACTCATACTCTCAGACTACTCATCCTCACTATACCATACCTTCCACGCATCATAATCAACCACTCGGTATTGTATATGGCACATACGACCCAGGGAAGATCCATCCCGGAATATATACATCACTGACTATAAGTCACCCAGTACAGAGGAACATGCCAATCCAGCCTCATGGAGAAGATCCATCTCCATAACAAGGGAAGATTTATCCCTGAATATAATCAATCGCGCTCACTGGGGGTGTGTAGACTCCGGAGGGGCTCCTTCAACCCAAATACTATAACAAGCCAACGAAGGCATAATCAATAATCTGCTGCGGTGTGTTGCCCGATCCCATAACTATCATTCATAATCAGGCTCTCGACCTCACTCAGTCATCATTCTCTCCAATCTCACCCACGGGATCACAATGTCATGAAAATTGACCCAGAACAATGATATGATGTATCAATAAGTAACAACTGAGACTGAGATATGATATGAATGCATGATTGTGACTGAGTACGAAATATCAATGAATTCAATGAGATGACAGCAAGAAACGACCACTATGGGTCCCAACATTATAAGCGCAAAGCCTAAACATAATATCTAGCATGATGTACAACTCATTTATCTTATCACATGGTGAAAACACAAATATCAATAAAATAGGGCCACTTTTCAGTTCCCTAGAAACACCAGAGTCACAACTCACAGGGTGCACGCCCACACGCCCATCACCTAGCATGAGCGTTACTTTAACACCAATCACATAGCACATAATTCGGGGTTTTATACCTTCAGCACTAAGTTTAGCAGAGTTACTTATCTTAAACAAGCCAATTCCGACACCGAACAAGCCAAGCGATGCCCCAAGAATCCCATCACGCGCATTCCAACCTCCGAATGGCTCGAAACTAATAAAAAACAACTCAAATTCATCAAACAATCTAAAGGAACCAATCACAATCGAAAAAGGTCGAGTCTTTAATCAAAAGCCCAAAATCGGCCAAAAAGCCCAACCAGGCCCGCACCTCGGAACCCGACAAAACTCATAAAATCTATCAACCCATTCAATTACGAGTTCAACCATACTAGTTTCACTCAAATCCGACTACGGATCGGTGTTCAAAACTCAAAAAAAATTTATTATGAAACTTTAGGCCAAAAACCCCCAATTTCTTCTTTAAAATTCATCAACTAAAAGATAAAATCGAAGATAGATTCATGAAATATAACCAAAACTGAGTAGAGAACACTTACCCCAGTTCATATGATGAAAAGCGCCTTGAAAAAAATTGCCCAATTCCGAGCTCCCCAACTCAAAATATGTTAAATGCACAAAACCCTCATTTTAACACTGTTCTGCCTCGTTTCTTATGCCAAAAGATCTTGAAACTCACTTTTGAAACCTCAAATGGATTCCTTGTGAAATTCTAGTCAAGGTAGGATCTTGAATCACTCCATTTGACCTTATATTGAATGAGATATTTTGGTTTCAATATTTGAAAATAGTGCAGAATTTTTAAATTTGCATCAGTGGCAATTTCGTAATTAATCTGAAAAATCTGGCAACTCAATTCTTAGTAGAATAACCATAACATCCTCATACGATGTCTAAATTTGTTGATTCTTTTTCCTATGGCTCCGTAATTATGATACAGATCTAATGCTTCAATAAAAATAGAAATCGAAGCTCATTTGTTCAATGTGGTACCATTTATGCTTGAAGAAATGACGCCGAAACATAAGAAAAACGAGCGCAACACAACCAAAACCTATCCGAAACTCACCTGAGCCCCTCGGGAACCCGTCTAAACATACCAAAAAGTTTCATATCATAATACTGACCTACTTGAGGCCTCAAAATACACATAACAATATCGAAACGATGAAAGGCACCTCAAATCAAACTTAATGAACTTTCGACTTCCAAAAACTCACGCCGAAACATATTAAATCAACTCGAAATGAACCCAATTTTTTGCACACAAGTCCTAATACATCATACGGAGCTACTCATGCCCCCAAACTACCGAGCGAAGTGCAAATGCTCAAAATGACCGGTCGGGTCGTTACATTCTCCCCCACTTAAATATGCGTTCGTCCT